CGCTTGATCTTTATGAATCTCTTCCATCAATACTTTTTTCAATCTCTTGGCCAAAATGTCTGCAAAAATTTTGTAATCCACATTAAGTAACGATATAGGGCGGTAGTTCTTAAGCTGAGTCTTTTCAGTCTCTGTTTTCGGTATAAGTGTAATGTACGCCTCTTTCCACGACTCTGGTGCCCTTTTCCCTTCCAATATTTCATTGCAGACTTCCTTCAAAGGTTGTATTAACCACTCTTTCAAAGATCTATAGTATCTAGAAGTCAGCCCATCCGGTCCTGGAGATTTGCCCAATTGCATGTTTTGAATGGCACCTTCTACTTCCTGTTCAGATATTTTGTAGTTCAACATTAATTTGCTTTCTTGAGAGATTTTTGTAATCCATTTGTCTTCAAAAATCGGTCTATATCCATTTCTTTCTGTGGCCCTTGTGTGTATAATTGTTTAAAGTACCTCTGGAAACAGTTTCTAATCTCAATTGGGTTGTGTATATTCTTTCCTTCCACTTCTAGGTTTGTAATAGTATTTAATTTTTGTCTTTTTTTCATTTGCCAGGCCAGCAATTTCCCACATTTGTTAGCTGATTCAAATGTTTTTTGTCTCATTTGTTTAATTTTCCATTCTATTTCCTGATTCATCATTTCCATATATTGTACTTGGTATAATTTTATCTCTCTCAAAATCTCCTGCGACTTTGGTTTTGCTCTCAATTTCTTCTCACTTTCTTTTATTTTCTCCAAAATTTTATCTTTCTTCTCATTTTGACTTCTCTTCTTTATTGCATTCTGTTGTATCAGAAACCCTCTCATAACGGCTTTGCTTGTGTCCCAGATTACTCTTTTTTCTACAGTAGTGTTCATATTTATTGCGAAATAATCTCTCAAAGTTTTTTGGGCCTTTTTGTAGACTTCTTCATCTCTGAATAAGGTGTCAGGATGAATGACAACCTGAAACTGTTCTTAACCTGAAGCACCACTTTAGCTAATGGGGCCTCCTGCTGCCGGTGCACCGACGGAGGACAATTTCTGTTCTCATCCTGAAGCAAAGTTCTTAACCTAAGGTAATATTTCTGGGTTAGAGGAGTCTGTAACCTGAAGCGTATGTAACCCGAGGTACCACTGTAAAGGGTTTTTTTTTTGCTCTCTTTCTGCTGGCCAGCTGCCTCAGCGCCCGCAGCAGGAAAAGCTTGCGGCGCTCCGACGGGTTCTGCTCCTCTTGGCAGCGGCTGTCAGCTGGCCTGGCTCTTCAATCCCCGGACTCCAAATCTTGGCCCTGGGCTCTCGGCCTGGTGCCCCTGAGAGCCCGGCGCCTGGGTGCCCCACACCCCTAGCACCTATGGGTAACCTCTCCCTGGAGATGGTGACCTGTTTGATAAGGTTACATTGATCTTGTTCTTCTCTGTTTGCCAGGGAAAATAATATATTATCCAGTCTGAGCAAATCCTAAATGGCACCAGTCACTTCCTAAAAGACGGACCTCTTCAACACTGTCAATTTGATGCACATAATATGTTGGACCTGTGATCTGAAAGAACTTATTGACTTGCTGGAAAGCCTTTGAGAAATCAAACTTCCCATTTGTAGTAACGGTCTCATCTCCAAAATAAAACCTCTCATTGTCTATAACAATGTTTTGACTTTCTGCTCCCAATAAAACAAAACCGTTTCACAGATAAACTGTCAGTGGCACCTCATTTGTTCTGTTGTTCTGTCCTGGAGAGAAACTATTTTGCCCTTTCCTAATGACTGCAAACGAAGAGAAGCCAATCTGCAAAGAATGCAGACATGACTTGTTGCTCTTTCTGCTTCTACCATGCTTTTGATTCCACGAAGGTGGATTTGTTCTTTCCTGGCAGTCAAGAGAAGAACACTTCATCTCTTTCCAAGAAAGGAGGAAGAGTAGTTGCTGTTCAGATCTCTGGCATCTGCAACCCACCGTACATTTTTGGCAGCATGCTTCCCTTTTAACCTATGAGAAACATCCTTCATTTTAAAAAATAAACCTACACCAGAGTCTGGTCCATGGGGTCACGAAGAGTTGGACACGACTAAATGACTAAACAGCAACACCAGAGTCACATCTAATAGCTGAAAACTCATAAAAACGTAAGGAAAGTCCTGCTGTATCAAGCCAGAGATGCCCGAAGGAAGCCTAGGAGCACAATCTGAGTGCAACTGCACTCTTCCCGTTTATCATCTGGGTAGGCAACCATTGGTAGCCTTATCTTCCATGTATACCAAAAAAACGGCTCCAACCAGCACAATTTTGTTGAATTGGTGGGCATGAGACCGGCCCAGCACAGACTGATCTCCCAGTAGTTTGTTTCTTTACTGGAGTTTGTTTCACACAGGCAGACTGTTAAGGCCTTTCATCTACGCTGTGTTCCTTATCAAAATTGCATGCTCCAATGCTAGTTTGGGGAGTGGGCGGGGTGGAACAGGTGCCTAATGCTAATGACACACTGGGAAGTACTGAAGCTTTCAATGCTGAGAGGCACCTGAGTGTGAGATCGGTGTGTGCGTGTCGGATTCGAACGAATCCTGGGTTAAGAACTGACGTGGGCTATTACAGACAGATTTGGGGTTTTCTCCAAGATCTCTCTGAAGCAATATCCTCCAAAGCAATTCAAACTCCAGAGACTGTGTCTGCAAAAACTTAAACATTTGTCCCCAAGCCTGCCCTATTCTCTAGCCGAACACCTCCTACCACCCCACCACCTCACCATTCCTCCATCCAAACATACTCCTAAAAAACACTTTTCAAACTCAAGTCCCCGTCCCCCCCATAAATGCAGAACCCTCCTTGCACTTTGCCTGGAGTTGTTGTTCACTCTGACAGTCAGATTCCTCCTAAACTGTTTCTTACCAGCTTTGTGGTCAGCCTGCAATCTTGCGTAATGACACTGGCCTCCCTGAAAATGGGTTTTGCAGAATTTCTACTTCAGTGTGCATGTAAATCAGCCTGTACTCTATTGGTACATACCCTAAGGGACTCCTGGATGAAGGGCATTTCTCCAGCAACTTTTCATTGCTGACTGGGTGATGGAGCTGCTTATTCTGGTACTCTTAGGGTCTGGGGTCTGGGCCCTGCATTCAGTGAGGGTGGGATGTGCAATTCAGGCTCTACACACCCAGTGCTCTCCTATATGGCCAGTTAGCAATGATAGGCTTGATAGACTCACATCACTCACTTTGATGGCGATGGAGCTGGTCCAAGGAGGCTTTGCCCGGGGTGGGAGACAGACAGTCTTTGTCCTTCTGCCTCCACATGTTCCATCTGCCCACACTGGAACAGCTTGTGTTTATGGCGATGGATCCTCAAGGTACCATGAATAAATCATGTATTTTTGCCACAATATTGTCTCCCACGTCTTCATTCTGGGGTGTGTGGGCTTTGAGATACAGAACACCGCCAATTATGAACCCCCCCCTTATGTAGAGAAGCTCTCCATACACATATCTCCACACACATAAGAAAATTCCTTATCTATCTATATCTATCTATCTATCTATCTATCTATCTATCTATCTATCTATCATCTATCTATCTATCATCTATCTATCTATCTATCTATCTATCTATCTATCTATCTATCTATCTATCTATCTATCATCTATCATCTATCTATCTATCTATCTATCTATCTATCTATCATCTATCTATATCTATCTATCTATCATCTATCTATCTATCATCTATATCTATCTATCTATCTATCTATCTATCTATCTATCTATCTATATCTATCTATCTATCTATCTATCTATCTATCATGTCTATCTATCTATCTATCTATCTATCTATCTATCTATCTAATCTCTATCATCTATTTATCTATCATCATCTATCTATCTATCTATCATCTATCTATCTATCTATCATCTATCTATCTATCTATCTATCTATCTATCATCTATCATCATCTATCTATCTATCATCTATCATCTATCTATCTATCTATCTATCATCTATCTATCTATCTATCTATCTATCTATCTATCTATCTATCATCTATCTATCATCTATCATCATTCTCTCTTTCTCTATCATCTATCTATCATTTATCTATCATCTATCTATCTATCTATCTATCTATCTATCTGTCATCTATCATCTATTTATTTTTAATTCATTTAATTATTTGACAGTTATTAACTATAATCAACACAAGCACTCCAGGAAAAAAAATCACTTCAGTTTTAAAAAAATAAGGAAAAACTATGAATGACAATGTTTCTTTTTTTAAAAAAAACCTCTCAAAGCTAACTTGAACTTGCTTTCGCAGGAGATATTTATTTTCTTGACAATATTGTATAAGGGGCAAGCAGTTTCCCCAGAAACGCTTTCTATATTTGCCTGCAATTCCCACTCTTAGACGTTATTTCTGCCATTATAGCCATATCCCAAACTTTATTAAACCATTCTCTCCAAGAAGGAAGAAGTGTATGTAACTTTCTAGTTTTGAGCCATTAACATTATTACAGCTGTTAACAGACAGGATGTAGATTCTTTATGTACTTTCCTTATGAAAGGTGATGTATAGTTCAGCAATATCATTACTGGATATATGGAAACTTCATATTTCAATATTTTTGCCATTAGTCTAAAAATCATTTCCCCAGCATAACTACATGTCCACAACATATGGCAATGTGTTCCATTCTGCTCTTTGTACCCCCAGCTGTTCTCAGAATGCTCTTAGCTGTTTTCTGAAGGTTTTTAATTGTTTTAGATTATTTCAGTTATTGATCTGTTTGCTGCCCTGGGCTCCTTTGGGAAGAAGGGGGGGGATATAATTGGAACCATCAAAGAAACCTCTTCTAAAGCCATCCAAATGTAGAGAACACCTTGTAGCAACATTCTGAGGGTGTGCTAACAGCTGCCACTGTTAGTACCTGGTGGAACACACAATCTTTCAATGGCCAATGAGGTTTCCTGTGTGGGCCTCTTGTTGCCTGTGCATCCTAATGAAGTATAAATTCTTCTGCTTCTCCCACATCCAAAGAGAATGTGCAGACCCAACATTCAGCTATGAAGACCTTCCATCCTCTACTTCTATGTCATTTTATCACACTGCTGACTTTTTCAGGTGAGATGCACGGGGCACATCGGCAGTGCTAAAACCAACCAGCCTGTTCAATGAGGCCAGTTGTTTATTTGACCCAACATTGTCTCAAAATGGTGGGAATATTACCTTGTTTTGTCCTACCGTGCTGTTCTAGAATTAGAATCCCATTTCTTTGGAAATATCAGAAATGTGGTGCCTTCATGGAAGGGGAAAGGCTCAGCAATATCGAGGATTCCTTCTTATTTGAGCACTCCCAACTTCAGGCAATAGTGCAGCTGAGTGAAATTGGGAAGGATGCAAACCAAGTTGTTTATATGTCGAATATGTTGCTATGGCAAAAACCTATTCATTGCTATTAAAAAAACAACAACTATTGTAATAAATTGCCAGGTAACATTCTTTAATTTTATGTTCAACAATAGTTATGATTTACTGGGGGATTTCTGGGTAAGGTGCAGAAGGAGGAAGACATTTCTTGCAGAAAGACATTGCATCTTTCTTAAAGAAATAAATAAGAAAACTTTTGAAGTTGCAGGTAAGGTCACTCTCACAGATTTTCTTCATCAAAGATATGGACAAACATCATGCAATTGAGGGAAGTTTGAGGGTGAGGTTCAAAGATCCTTCCCCTTTAGTTAGCCCAGCCTTTGGCCTGGACCTTCCAATTCCCCCTCTGTATTATCTGTCTCCGATCCTCACACAAAAGAATGGAATGGGGTTCAGTTAGATTGCAGCTGACGTAACAGGGAGGCATAGAAACATAGAGGAGCAATGAACTCCTCCAAATGTCCAAGTCTCTGTTTTTCTTCCACGCTTCCATGAAGTGTGGCTATCCTTGAACCTGCTAGCAGAGTGCTGACTTGAGGATTTTGTTCTTTAGAAAAGCAGAGTAGCAGATGATTTTTTTCAATTTAAAAAGGAAGAAATCGACAAAAGCTTCATTAATTTATTTAAATGAAAACCCTCTCTGTGTTCTGCTTAAAGTAAAAAAAATCCCCCAAAGTCTTTAGCTCTCTGAAGGCAACCTGCGGGATAGCCACATTTCTTCTGATTTCCTATTGCTTCCTGACGTGTCCTCTATAAATAAACACACACTGGTAAGTTAAGAAGCTGGTGTGTGTGAAGCTGGTGTGTGTGGGGTGTGTCTGTGTGTACACACAAAGAAGGCTGCACACCACACAACCACATCTAAATCATTTTAAGGTAAGAGCAAACTATACTCCCTCACTGCAGTGCTTTGAAGTTGTGACATCAGAATCTTATTGATTGATTGATTCAATTTATCTAGTGCCCTTTATCCAATGATCCCATGGTGGTTTTCCTCAAGGGATTTATTCTTGTCCATCCCATAATTGGGGATGGGGGCATGGGATGGTTTGGGACAGTGGACACAATTTCAAATTTTCGTCATAACTCTAAGTCCCATGCTTTTTATGTGCTACAAGAAGGATTAATGTTACCATTTTTAAAAAAATTATACCCTGCACTTTCCTCCAAAGGAGCAGAGGGTGGTAAATGTGGAGGTTTTCTTCCTATAGCATATAGGGGGTCCTGTGAAGGAAAACGAGAAACTGAATGAGTGGCTTCTAAAAGCCCTTGAATATGACGAAGAATGTTCCCTGAGTTGTGTGTTTGTTTTTTTTAATGGCAGCTTAATGTGACTATCTTAAAGTGAATGCATAGAATTGCTGACAAACTCCCTTCCTCTGTTTTGCTAAAGTTTCCGGAGGATTTGCAAATGCTGTCGTCAAGAAACTTTGGGCACGATGCAAGCCAGAATGTGATGAAGATGTTTCTGCAGCAAGAGACTGTTCTATTCCTTGCTTTGTCTTCTGCTGTGAACGGCCAGGTAATATCACCTTGCTTTTAATGTGCCAGAACAAGAAGGAGGCACTGGGGTATTTTTGGGCAAAGCACGCGGTAAATGGTTAGGTGTGGTTTATAAATGCTGTCTTTGCCTGGTTCCTGAAGTTCCTTGCTTCCTAATGAATTGTGGGGTAGCCAGGAATTAATGTGAAGCCCAATGAGTGACAGAATGACGGGCCTTTAACAGCCCTTGTGTTACGATATGGATGCAATGCAGCTGCAGATTGCTAGCTTGAAAACATCACATGATGGAATGTTGGGACTGTTCCGTGGGAAACAGAGGGACAGTCAATTCACAGTGCGAAGCACCGGAATTAGCTCAGAGTGTAATATGAGCTCTTCCTTTTGTTCCTGTACAGGAAGTACAGGAAGTGTTAGTCTCTCGACTGCTGGAGCTTGATGAGAGCAGTCATGTTTTTTGTAACGCTGTAAAAGACAGAAATAAAGGCATGTAAATATGTTTCTGTCTATCTCTTTCCCCTGCCGGGGGGGGGCAAGAAAGAGGGGGGGTGTTCTTCTCACGCTGAGAAGAATCGCCTATAGCGACCTTGCCTGCGTTTGCTGGGGAATGCAGCCAGGGAGGTCATCGGAACTCAAGCCGGGTGCCTGGGAGGGTTGCCAGCTTCTCCCGATAGAGGCTTGAATTCCAACACCTTGTACTTGTGGGATGGAGAAATTCATAGATTTGATTCATAAAGCAACAGGCAAACAGAACTGTTGGTTTATAGATGGCAATCTTTTGTAAACTTTGTAGCTGAGTTTAGGGTATTTAGAAATTGAATTGATAGAGATTGAACTCTAATAATAATAATAATAATAATAATAATAATAATAATAATTCCTGCATTCATAGGAAGTGCTCAGAGATGTTGATCTCTTCTCTGTTTTCATACAGCGCACCAACAATTTCTCCCCTTCATAGCAGATAAATGTTTGGGTAGATGCAGGTCAAGGTGTTCCAGTGGTGAAAATGTGCCTTCAAGAAGACCCTGCTCTACTCCTGGTTGCTGCGAGAAGCCAGGTAATATTCAAATGCCTTTTGCCTGCTAGAACAATGATGTATTGGGGAATTTTGAGTAAGGCGTGCAGAGGCTGGGTACAGATAAGTTATTTACTATGTCTATAAGTGCATTTCAAAGTCCATTGTGAGGTAGACAGGAATTATTGTGAAGCCCAATGAGGAATTGAATGAGTAGCTTTCAGAAGCCCTTGAGCTTCTATAGATGCACAAGCTTGTGGATCCTGGTTTATCATGTCAAACAGCTTTATGGAGCTTTCCCCTGGAAATACATTTATGGTACTCAAAGACGGAATTCTTTTCAGTGTTTTCTATGTTTATTGAGAATGCTGAGAGATATTGATGTCCTCTTCTCCTTTGTTTTGACCATGTCCCAAGGCTTGGTCCACACTGCAGGCAAGAAATGTCGGGGTCAGTGCAAGTCAAGATGTTCCAGTGGTGAATATATATCTTCAACAAGAGTCTGTCCTGTCCTTGGCTATGTCTTCTGCTGTAAACGGACAGGTAATGTTCTCATGCTTTTAATGTGCTAGAGAAGCAATGATGTACTGGGGAATTTCTGGGTAAGGGACGTGTGGGGGTGCAAATGAGGGTTATTTTGAAATTCCATGGTTTCTAATGAATTGCATGGTAGACAGGAATTACTCTGAAGCCAAATATGTGATTGAATGAGTGGCTTTTTAACAGCCTTTCGATTTTCAGGGATGCTTCTCAGGTAGCTCAGTTGGTTAGGGCATGGTGGTGATAACGCCAAGTTCGCAGGTTTGATTCCCATATGGGACACCTGACTGTTCCTGCACTGCAGGGAGTTGGACTGGATGATCCGCAGGGTCCTTTCCAACTCTTCAGTTCTATGATTTGGAAATGTTCGTTTAAAGAAAAAGTGAGTAAGAGGCAACTTTGCAAAATTATGTATGACATGGAGAAAGTGGATGAAGGAAAATTGTTCTCCCTCTCTTGTAACACTTATGGGCATCCTCTACTGATGGAGACTTCTAAATGCCAGTTGCTGGGAACTCCAGGAGGGGAGAGGGTTCTTGTGCTTGAATCCTGCTTTCTGGTTTCCCATAGGCATCTGGTTGGCCACTGTGAGAACAGATTGGTGGCCTAGATGAGCAATTGGCTTGATCCAACAGTATCTTCTCATTTGCAAGGCAGGCACAGGGGTGTGCTAGTGGCTGTGCCATCTGTCATGGATGCTTTAGTTGAGATTCCAGCATTGCAGGGGTTTCGACTAGACGATCCCCAGGGTCCCTTCCAACACTAAGATTCTATGATTCTATAAGGAGAGGACAATAACGTGAAGAACCATTGTGCAAATGGAAGTAAAATTTATACAAACCATGGGATTTAGAGGTTGACTTTTTAAATAAAATATATATTTTCTATGTATATGGGGATATATTGACTGCTTCTCTCTCCGGCTGAAATGTCCCGAGGATTGGTCCACAGTGTAGCCAAGAAATGTTGGGGTCAATGCAGGCCAAGATGTTCCTATGGTGAATATATATCCTCAGCGAAAGTCTCCACTGTCTTTGGCTATGTCTTTTGCTGCAAACGGGCAAGTAATGTTCCCATGCTTTTAATGTGCTGGAGGAACAATGATTCAAGTGGGGATTTCTGGGTCAGGATCCCAGAGGGTGGGTAGATGTTGGTCCCATGAAGAACAGTTGGGAGATGGAGCAAGTGTCCTTGAAAAGCTCTTGATACAGAAACTCGTGGTTTTGGTTCACCAAAGAAATGGGCTTTGTTTTCATGTGTGAGTGGGATGGGTGGATGTTTTGGATCAGGTTAGCCATATTGATTTGTATGCTGTTGGTAGAATTTTGTCATTGTCTTGTTGGGCTGTGTATGTGATAAAGGGGAGCCATACCAGGGTGAAAGTGTCTTCTTCTATTTGTCCCCGTGTCAGTCTCAGCAAATGAAACTGACTTGTAAAAATGTTACATGGGGGAAAATATACAAGAGAGAGACATTGCACAAACTTTTGTAAATCAAGAAAATCTTTAATAATAAAAAAAACCCAAAGAAATGGGCAAAAGTGGGCTCTCTAGAACTTTTCGGAACTTTTCTGAATTGCACGTATCATGTTGAGAGTTACACACACACACACTCTTAATGGAAAATGCTTTGATACGTTGCTGACCTCTTTTTCTCTGCTCAGGTAAAATGCCCCATGAATTGACCATGAAATGTTTGGGTAGATGCAAGCCAAAATGTTCCCATGGGGAATATGTGTTGTCCGCTGGTTTCTGCTCTGTTCCTGGCTTCTTCCTTTGCTGTAGAAAGCCAGGTAATGGCTGCCTTCATGTCACCTTTGCAGACATCTTTGTAACGCAGACTTGGTCTGCTAATGGGCCTGATACCAGAAGCCAGCTGCCCATAGAGCACCTCCTTGGGGATCCTGCTATCTTCCATTCTGTGGGCGTGACCAAGCCAGCATAGATGTTGATGAGACAGGAGCACAAACATGCTAGGAATGTGGCTTGGGAAAGCGCATCTTTGTTTGAGACTCTCCCCTGTTGTGAGGTAACCCAAATCTTCCTGACGCAGCACATGTGGAAGGTGTGTTGTCACTCCTGGCGGTTGTAGAATCATAGAATCATAGAGTTGGAAGAGACCACAACGGCCATCGAGTCCAACCCCCTGCCAAGCAGGAAACACCATCAGAGCACTCCTGACATATGGTTGTCAAGCCTCTGCTTAAAGACCTCCAAAGAAGGAGACTCCACCACACTCTTTGGCAGCAAATTCCACTGTCGAACAGCTCTTACTGTCAGGAAGTTCTTCCTAATGTTTAGGTGGAATCTTCTTTCTTGTAGTTTGGATCCATTGCTCCGTGTCCGCTTCTCTGGAGCAGCAGAAAACAACCTTTCTCCCTCCTCTATGTGACATCCTTTTATATATTTGAACATGGCTATCATATCTCCCCTTAACCTCCTCTTCTCCAGGCTAAACATGCCCACCTCCCTTAGCTGTTTCTCATAAGGCATCGTTTCCAGGCCTTTGACCATTTTGGTTGCCCTCCTCTGGACACCTCCAGTTTGTCAGTGTCCTTCTTGAACTGTGGTGCCCAGAACTGGACACAGTACTCCAGATGAGGTCTGACCAGAGCAGAATACAGTGGCACTATTACTTCCCTTGATCTAGATGCTATACTCCTATTGATGAAGCCCAGAATTGCATTGGCTTTTTAGCTGCCGCGTCACACTGTTGGCTCATGTCAAGTTTGTGGTCAACCAAGACTCCTAGATCCTTTTCACATGTACTGCTCTCAAGCCAGGTGTCCCCATCTTGTATTTGTGCCTCTCATTTTTTTGCCCAAGTGCAATACTTTACATTTCTCCCTGTTAAAATTCATCTTGTTTGTTTTGGCCCAGTTCTCTAATCTGTCAAGGTCGTTTTGAAGTGTGATCCTGTCCTTTGGGGTGTTAGCCACCCCTCCCAGTTTGGTGTCATCTGCAAATTTGATCAGGATGCCCTTGAGTCCATCATCCAAGTCATTGATAAAGATGTTGAATAAGACCGGGCCCAAGACAGAACCCTGTGGCACCCCACTAGTCACTCTTCTCCAGGATGAAGAGGAACCATTGATGAGCACCCTTTGGGTTTGGTCAGTCAGCCAGTTACAAATCCACTGAGTGGTAGCATAGTCAAGACCGCATTTTAGCAGCTTCTTTACAAGAATATCATGGGGCACCTTGTCAAATGCCTTGCTGAAATCAAGGTAGGCTACATCCACTGCATTCCCTTCATCTACCAGGCTTGTAATTCTGTCAAAAACGAGATCAGGTTAGTCTGACATGACTTATTTTTCAGAAATCCATGCTGACTATTGGTGATCACAGCATTCCTTTCTAGGTGCTCACAGACTGTTTGCTTAATGATCTGCTCCAGAATCTTCCCTGGTATTGATGTCAGACTGACTGGGCGGTAATTGTTTGGGTCCTCTCTATTCCCCTTTTTGAAAATAGGGACAACATTTGCCCTCCTCCAGTCTGCCGGGACTTCACCTGTTCTCCAGGAATTCTCAAAGATGACTGTAAGAGAGGAGTTATTTACTTTGCTTGAAAGTGAATTTCAAAGCCGTCATTTCCTAATGAACTGTGAGATGGACAGGAATTACTGAGAAGCCCAATGAGAGATTGAATGAGTAGCTTTTAGAAGCCCTTGAGTTCCAATGGATGGAGATACACATGGATCATCAAGGCAAACAGTCCTCTGGTTCTTCTCTCTGGAACTATATTAATGGTGTTCAGAGACATACTTCTTTTCAATATTTAAAACACTTCTGATATTTCCAAATGCTTGGAGATGCTGATGATCTATTATCTGTTTCAGTAATGTCACAAGGATTGATTTCTGCTGCATCTCTGAATCTTCGGGGTAGATGCAAGTCAAGATGTTCGTATGGCGAATTTGTGTCTCCAGCAGTAGTGTGCCCTATTCCTGGCAACCTATTCTGCTGCAAATGGCCAGGTAAAATGCTTTTAATGCAATAGAGCAACAGTGATGTACAAGGGGATTATTGAGAAAGGGACATAATGTGAGTTCAGATGAGAGTTAAAAAATGGGACAATGTCACTGGATAAAAACTATGGCATTTAGCTATTGAACCATTTTTTCTATGTATAAGGGAAGATGTTAATGGTTCCTTTTCTCCTTTGCTGAAGTGTCCCAAGGATTGGTTCACAGTGTAGGCAAGAAATGTCAATGCAAGTTAACATGTGGCAGCAGTGAATATGCATCTTCAGCAAGAGCCTGTTCTAATCCAGACTTTGTCTTCTGCTGCAAAAAGCGAGGTAATATTCTCATATTTTTATTGTGCTGGAGCAACAATGATGCATGTGTGGGATTTCTGGGTCACGATCTCAGTGGGTGGGTAGATATTGGCCCTGTGTAGGGCAATGGGAAATGGAACAAGTATTTTTGAAAAAGCTCTTGAATTTGCAGGGATATAAAAACTCATGGCTTTGATGTATCAAAGAACCAGAGGGAAAGGAACTCTTTGGCAATTTTTGGAAATGGAAACCTCACAAATCTTTCTTTGAACTGTTGATAGATTGAATTCTCCCTACATTATTATTATTATTATATGCTCTGATATGTTGATGATCTCTTGTTCTCTGTCAAGACAAAGAGTCTAAACAATTGACAAATGCTGCAGCTCAGAAATGTGTGGGTAGATGCAAGGCAAGATGTTCCAAGGGTGAAAAGGTGTCTTCAACATGTTCCTGCTCTATTCCTGGCTTCGTCTTTTGCTGTAACAATCCAGGTAATATCCCAAAAATTTCTTTGTGCTAGAACAACTATAATATATTCAGGGTTTTCTGGGTAAGTCACACAACACGTGGGTAGATGGGAATTATTTACATTGTCTTCTCAAGAATTGCAGTATATTTTGCTTTCTAATTAATCAACAGGAATTAAAGTGAAGCCGATTGAGTGATTGAATGAGAGGCTTATAATGGTCCTTGGATTTGCTGGGATAGACAAACTCATAGATTCCTGTTCATCAAAGAAATAGGCAGAGCTGTCCGTTTATTTTCATAAATGGGCAGCCTTTTCTAACTTCAAAGAAATGGACTTATGGGGTTGTATCCAACAAACTCATCCCACTTGTGCAAGAACTTCTGTTTGTAAGCAGTTTGTGGATGGCACAAGGTGATATAGGAAAAAGACAACGAGAGATGTTCCATTCCTCAGGTTGAAGTCATTGTTACAATGTGAATGAATTCATTGGATACAAACCATGGTATTTAGAAATTAAACCGCTTTTTAAAAATATATATTTTCTATGTGCATGGGAAGATATTGATGGTATCTTCTCTGTTTTTCCAAAGTGTCTCACGGATTGGTCCGCCCTGAAGGCAAGAAATGTCATGGTCAATGCAAGTTAACATGTGGCAACAATGAATATGCATCTTCGACAGGAGCCTGCTCTAATCCTGACTTTGTCTTCTGTTGTAAAAAGCAAGGTAATGTTCCCATGCTTTTAATGTGGTGGAGGAACAATGATGAGAGGGGGGGATTTCTATTACAGTAGACTAGTTCAAGATGTAAGAGCATCTTTTAAAGTTTACGTGGCTAGCATGTTTATGCTTGTCTTGTAAGGTAACCCCTGACTATTAGGTCTAGTCGTCCTCCGACTCTGGGGTTGTGGTGCTCATCTCGCTTTATTGACTGAGGGAGCCGGCATTTGTCTGCAAACAGTCATGTGGCCAGCATGACTAAGCTGCTTCTGGCAAACCAGAGCAGCACACGGAAATGCCGTTTACCTTCCCACCGGAGCGGTACCTATTTATCTACTTGCACTTTGACGTGCTTTAGAACTGCTAGGTTGGCAGGAGCAGGGACCGAGCAACGGGAGCTCACCCCGTCGCGGGGGTTCAAACCACCGACCTTCTGATTGGCAAGTCCTAGGCTCTGTGGTTTAACCCACAGCGCCACCCGCATCCCTTGCTTGTCTTGTACCATGAGACAATAAGCACTTTCTAGTCTAAACTGTAGTGAGTGATGGTGGGCCCAAGTTTCACAGGATAAGGACTACCTTACTGCCAGAAAATCATGGCATCTCTGAATCCTTTGGAACAGATTTAGTGGTGCTGGCAGAGAGAGCAGAGGAAAGAAAACCTCCATTTCACATGTGTATGTTTTTGTGAAAATGGTATGGTGCCACTGGGAATTGACCAATAGTATTTAGACATCAAACTCTTCATTCTCCCTCCCTCATTATATGGAAATATGTGGATGGTATCTTCTCTGTTTTTCTAAAGTATCTCAAGGAATGGTCCACCCTGAAGGCAAGAAATGTCATGGTCAATGCAAGTTAGCATGTGGCCACAGTGAATATGCATCTTCAACAAGAGTCTGCTCTAATCCCGACTTTGTCTTCTGTTGTAAAAAACAAGGTAATATTCCCATGCTTTTAATGTGGTGGAGGAACAGTGATGAGAGGGGGCATTTCTGGGTCAGGATTCCAGCGGGTGGGTACATGCTGGTCTTGTGAAAAACTGTGGGAGATGGCACCCGTGTCTTAGAAAAACTGTTGAATTTCCTGGGATATAGAAACTCATGGTTTTAGTTCATCAAATAACTACTCAAACTTTGGTTTTGGAAATAACAGCCTCATATTACTTTTTCTTGCAGTAGACTTGTTTTGAGAGATTAAATTTGCTTTGTATTTCCTCCAACTGCTTATGGCAGGAGTGTGAGGCATTCATGGAAAAGAGTTTTTGCTCAATGCAACGTATCAGCAGAGAAACTGAAGGTCCCGTGTTGCATGGTTCAGTATAGCATGGCGAGCTAGCATGGCAAGATGCTTGTGCATCTCTCTGTATACTTGTATCTCGCAAGGTTTACTTCAAAGCCCAGAACTGTATTACAGTAGACTAGTTCAAGATGTAAGAGCATCTTTTAAAGTTTACGTGGCTAGCATGTTTATGCTTGTCTTGTAAGGTAAAGGTAAAGGGACCCCTGACTATTAGGTCTAGTCGTCCTCCGACTCTGGGGTTGCGGCACTCATCTCGCTTTATTGGCCGAGGGAGCCGGCGTTTGTCCGCAAAATAGCTTCCGGATCATGTGGCCAGCATGACTAAGCTGCTTCTGGCAAACCAGAGCAGCACACGGAAATGCCGTTTACCTTCCCACCGGAGCGGTACCTATTTATCTACTTGCACTTTGACGTGCTTTTGAACTGCTAGGTTGGCAGGAGCAGGGACCGAGCAACGAGAGCTCACCCCGTTGCGGGGGTTCGAACCACCGACCTTCTGATTGGCAAGTCCTAGGCTCTGTGGTTTAACCCACAGCGCCACCCATGTCCCTTGCTTGTCTTGTACCATGAGACAATAAGCACTTTCTAGTCTAAACTGTAGTGAGTGATGGTGGGCCCAAGTTTCACAGGATAAGGACTACCTGACTGCTAAAAAATCATGGCATCTCTGAATCCTTTGGAACAGATTTAGTGGTGCTTGCAGAGAGAGCAGAGGAAAGAAAACCTCCATTTCACATGTGTATGTTTTTGTGAAAATGGTATGGTGCCACTGGGAATTGACCAATAGCATTTAGACATCAAACTCTTCATTCTCCCTCCCTCATTATATGGAAATATGTGGATGGTATCTTCTCTGTTTTTCTAAAGTATCTCAAGGAATGGTCCACCCTGAAGGCAAGAAATGTCATGGTCAATGCAAGTTAGCATGTGGCCACAGTGAATATGCATCTTCAACAAGAGTCTGCTCTAATCCCGACTTTGTCTTCTGTTGTAAAAAACAAGGTAATATTCCCATGCTTTTAATGTGGTGGAGGAACAGTGATGAGAGGGGGCATTTCTGGGTCAGGATTCCAGCGGGTGGGTACATGCTGGTCTTGTGAAAAACAGTGGGAGATGGAACCCATGTCTTAGAAAAGCTGTTGAATTTCCTGGGATATAGAAACTCATGGTTTTAGTTCATCAAATAACTACTCAAACTTTGGTTTTGGAAATAACAGCCTCATATTACTTTTTCTTGCAGTAGACTTGTTTTGAGAGATTAAATTTGCTTTGTATTTCCTCCAACTGCTTATGGCAGGAGTGTGAGGCATTCATGGAAAAGAGTTTTTGCTCAATGCAACGTATCAGCAGAGAAACTGAAGGTCCCGTGTTGCATGGTTCAGTATAGCATGGCGAGCTAGCATGGCAAGATGCTTGTGCATCTCTCTGTATACTTGTATCTCACAAGGTTTACTTCAAAGCCCAGAACTGTATTACAGTAGACTAGTTCAAGATGTAAGAGCATCTTTTAAAATTTACGTGGCTAGCATGTTTATGCTTGTCTTGTAAGGTAAAGGTAAAGGGACCCCTGACTATTAGGTCTAGTCGTCCTCCGACTCTGGGGTTTTGGTGCTCATCTCGCTTTATTGACCGAGGGAGCCGGCGTTTGTCCGCAAACAGCTTCCGGGTCATGTGGCCAGCATGACTAAGCTGCTTCTGGCAAACCAGAGCAGCACATGGAAATGCCGTTTACCTTCCCACCGGAGCGGTACCTATTTATCTACTTGCACTTTGACTACCTGCTAGGTTGGCAGGAGCAGGCAGGAGCAGAGACCGAGCAACGGGAGCTCACCCCGTTGCGGGGGTTCGAACCACCGACCTTCTGATTGGCAAGTCCTAGGCTCTGTGGTTTAACCCACAGCACCACCCATGTCCCTTGCTTGTCTTGTACCATGAGACAATAAGCACTTTCTAGTCTAAACTGTAGTGAGTGATGGTGGGCCCAAGTTTCACAGGATAAGGACTACCTGACTGCTAAAAAATCATGGCATCTCTGAATCCTTTGGAACAGATTTAGTGGTGCTTGCAGAGAGAGCAGAGGAAAGAAAACCTCCATTTCACATGTGGATGTTTTTGTGAAAATGGTGCCACAGGGAATAGACTCATAGTATTTAGACATCAAATGGGACATGGGTGGCGCTGTGGGTTAAACCACAGAGCCTAGGACTTGCCAATCAGAAGGTCGGCGGTTCAAATCCCCACAACAGGGTAAAAAACAAGGTAATATTCCCATGCTTTTAATGTCCTGGAGGAACTATGATGAATGGAGGGATTTCTTGGTCAGGATTCCAGCGGGTGGGTACATGCTGGTCTTGTAAAAAACAGTGGGAGATGGAACAAGTTGAAAAGATCTTGTATTTGCAAGGATGTATAAAATCATGGTTTGGATTCATCAAATAAATGGGGATATGGCCCCATTGTTATTCGCAGAAATAGAAACCTTATGACTTTGAGACGTTGATGATCTCTTGATCACTGTTTATGTAAAGTCTCCCGACGACTGAACAAAAAAATGTTTGGGTACATGCAAGTCAAGTTGTTCCCATGGTCAATATTTGTCATCCAGAAGATCTTGCTCTGCTCCCGGCTTTGTCCTTTGCTGCCAAAAGCCAGATAACATCACAACACTTTCTTTGTGCTAGAAGAACTATGATATGCATATATTGTTCCTAAAGCATCTCAGAAACATGGTGTCACCACTGAAGAGACCTGTTCTTGTGTTGCCAGCTTCCAGACCTCATGCGCAAGAGGCACACAATGACAGGTCTCAGATTATGATCAAAGGGTCCAGGTTGGTTCATATGGGAAGAGGCAGTCCTTGAGGTATTGTGATCCTGAGCCGTGTAAGGCTTTATAAGTAAAACCAGCAATTTTAATTGGGTCCCAAAACTAACTGGCAGCCAGTGCAGTCAAGCTAGGATTGGTGTGATATGCTCAAACCGCTTTGCCCTGGTGAGCAACCTGGCCACTGAATTCTGCAGCAGCTTAAGTTTCCAAACCAATTTCAGAGGCAGCCCTATATATAATGAGTTGCAATAATCTAACATAGACGTTAAAAAGGACCCCTGACTAAGTCCAGTCACAAACGGCTCTGGGGTTGCAGCACTCATCTTGCTTTACTGGCCAAGGGAGCTGGTGTTTGTCCACAGACAGTTTTTTTGGGTCATGCGGCCAGCATGACTAAGTCGTTTCTGGCAAAACCAGAGCAGCGCACGGAAATGCCGTTTACCTTCCCGCCAGAGTGGTACCTGTTTATCTAATTGCACTTGATGTGCTTTCGAACTGCTAGGTTAGCAGGAGCTGGGACAGAGCAACGGGAGCTCACCCTGTTGTGGGGATTCGAACGGCTGACCTTCCGATCGGCAAGCCCAAGGCTCAGTGGTTTACACCACAGCGCCACCCATGTCCCAAACATAGAGGTTGTTTTTGTTGTTTAGTCATTTAGTCGTGTCCAACTCTTCGTGACCCCATGGACCAGAGCATGCCAGGCACTCCTGTCTTGCACTGCCTCCTGTAGCTTGGTCAAACTCATGTTCGTAGCTTCGGTTAGCAGAGTATAAATGACAGAAGTTGGGCTGTCACTGTCTAAATAGGGGTGCAGCTGGGCCACTATCTGAAGCTGATGGAAAGCACTTTGGGCCACTGAGGCCGCCTGAGCCTCAAGCAACAGCAAAGTACCCTCAAGCTATGTAGCTGCTCCTTCAGATGGAGTGTAATCCCATCGAAAGCAGGCAACCTCCCATCCATCTAGTCTATGGAACCCCCCACTAACAGTGCTTCAGTCTTATATGGCTTGAGCTTCAGTTTGTTATATACTCAGGGAGTTCTTTGTAATCCACACAGTGTGTGAAAATTCCAACAAATCTTGCTTTCTAAGGAATTGCAGAGTAGACAGGCATTGCTGTGAAGCCAAATGAACGCTTGTAAGAATGGCTTTTAACGCCTTTTGGATTTGCAGAGATTACATGTTGAGGTCAGTGCAAATCAAGATGCTCCAGTGCTGGAAATATGTCTTCCACAAGAGCCTGTGATAATGCTGCCTACATCTTCTGTTGTAAAAAGCCAAATAAAAGAGACTTTCTGGATCAGGATCCCAAGGGGTGGGTAGATTCTGCTCTTGTGAAAAACAGTGAGAGGTGGGAGGAGTGTCTTTGAAAAGCCCTTGAATTTGCAGGAATACAGAAACTCATGGTCTGGGTTCATCAAAGAAACAAAAGAAAAGGTCTCTCTGGTTATTTTTGTTAGTGGAAACCTTATATGACTTTTTTGAAGTGGGATTATGGCGCGGAGATATTAAATTCTTTTTGTGCATGTGGAATTTTTAATACTATGGGGAAATGCTCTGAGATGTTGATGATCTCTTGTCTTCTCTTTTGATAAAGTGCCCCAAAGATTGCCTGAGCCTGTAGCTAAGCAACCTGAGGGTGTATGCAAGTTAAGATGTTCCTATGATGAAGATGCGTATTCAGAAGCATTGTGCCCGATTCCTGGCTTTGTTTTCTGCTGTAAAATTACGACAGGAAATGTTTCTATTTATTTATCACCTGGCAGAAAAATTGTAATATCTGGACAAAGGCTACCAAAGATAGCCACAAAGGCTACCAAAGGTAAGACACAAAAAAGAAGAAACAGAAAATAGTACCCATGTAGGGGGGAAAAACAAAACAACAACAACAAAAAGATTTTGTGTATCTTGCGAAACGGGGGCGGGGGGGCGGGGGGGCGGGACTTGTTATTGTGGTTAACTAGACCTTAATCTAATATGGTATTTATAAAAATGAACTCCAGATATCGTTAGATTTGTCCATGGCAAGTCTACGTGTGTACACAACTTCTTTATGTGTAGCGGGTTTGTGTATATCTTCACTCCAACCATTAAAGGAAGCAGCACTTTTATTTTTCCAGTTAATCAATACCAGTCTTTTTGCTGTAGTGAGGGCGTGGAGAGTCCATTCAAATTGTCCTTTTGGGATACCGAGGGTGGGAAGCTGAAGTTCATATGACACAGAAAAAGAGAATGACGGAGCCTTTGAATACACAGTTTTTGTCATGGTCCCTGCTTGGCATTATGAATGTAATGGCAAAAGCGTGACTTAGGCTACTGTTCTACAAAGTCAAGTAACATTCCCTCATACTTGCCATTCCTATAGCAGGGATGATTTAAAGGGTGTGTTTTTTATGATGTATAAAACAACATTTTGTAATAAAATTTAAACATGCCTATGAATGACATGGGTGGCGCTGTGGGTTAAACCACAGAGCCTAGGACTTACCGATCAGAAGGTCGGCGGTTCGAATCCCTGCAACGGGATGAGCTCCTGTTGCTCGGTCCCAGCTCCTGCCCACCTAGCAGTTCGAAAGCACATCAAAGTGCAAGTAGATAAATAGGTACCGCTCCGGCGGGAAGGTAAACAGCGTTTCCGTGTGCTGCTCTAGTTTGCCACAAGTGGCTTAGTCATGCTGGTCACATGACCTGGAAGCTGTACGCCGGCTCCCTTGGCCTATAGTGCGAGATGAGTGTGCAACCCCAGAGTCGTCTGCAACTGGAGCTAACGGTCAGGGGTACCTTTACCTTTATGATTTTGCAGTGGGAGCATTGCTCCCCCCCCCTTAGACAGTTGGTAAAGCCTTTCCCTTTCTGTCTGAGAAGAACAACGATGACCTTCAAATATGCATAGGTTCTTGAAGTTTCTGTTTTAAGATATTGCCTTGCTGATTGTTATGAAATTCAGCTGATTTCTTCCAGCGTGCATTCATATGTCTTGATTAGTACTGATCATGTCATCCATTTATCAGGTTACCACAGACTGTATCGTGTTGTGCCTGCACTGGCTAAACTGTATCCACCCATCTTTTAAAATATGGAGTTTGTCTCCACACTAACCAGACATACTTAACATGTGGGCTGGTGATTCGGAAGAATGCTTTGAGCTGCTGAAACGTCTTCCGGCAATCAAACCGCTCGTGATACTTTGAAATTCTGAACCTAATAAAACCAAATTTGATGTGGAGATGAATTGCCGAGTCATGATTCTGTCCACAAAGGCTTTCTTTTTAATTTACTTTTCATTTATTTATACGCTTCATATGCCACTTAACTACAATAGTCTTTTACAAAGATATAATACATTAAAAAATAAAATCCAGCCCCAGTCGAAACTATAAAATCAAACTTCAGTTAAAATGCTCTTCAGTAAGCACCCAATATTTAGTAGGGAGTGAGCCTGTCTGACCTCAGTTGGAAGGAAGCTCCAAAAAATTGGGCTTCTGAATCTGGAAGGGACCACTGACAATGATTCCGCCAAAGACTTCTATGATTAGGTGGTCCCTGAGGTATCTTGGACCGAAATTGTTAAGGGCCCTGTAAGTTAATACAATAACCTTGAAACTGCCTTGGAAGAAGAAGAAGAAGAAGAAGAAGAAGAAGAAGAAGAAGAAGAAGAAGAAGAAGAAGAAGAAGAAGAATAGAAGAGTTTGGATTTGATATCCCGCTTTATCACTACCCCAAGGAGTCTCAAAGCGGCTAACATTTTCCTTTCCCTTCCTCCCCCACAACAAACACTCTGTGAGGTGAGTGGGACTGAGAGACTTCAAAGAATTGTGACTAGCCCAAGGTCACCCAACAGCTGCATGTGGAGGAGCGGAGGCGCTAACCTGGTTCACCAGATTATGAGTCTACTGCTCTTAACCACTACACCACACTGGCTCTCTGGTAGGGTATGGGCAGCCAACATAGGAGCCAACTCTTAAGGGCCAAGGTCCCTTTGCCCTCCCCAATAAAACATTTGAGGGCCCCGCTACCCCCTAAAGTTAATGGGCATTGCCATTCAAATGGTGTGTTGTGCTGCATCATGTGACTGATTATACAGGGCAGGGGCTTACCTCCCCCCTCCCATATTTTATTCAATCTGGCACCTAATGCAGCTAGTGCAGACCTTTTGATCACTGGAGTTCTGTGTTGGCAATAGTCTGTCTCCATCAACAGCCTAGCAGCACAATATTTCACCAGCTGGAGTCTCCAGACTGGGCCCGAATATAGTTCCATACAGAGCACATTGCAAGAATCAAGCCTTAAGGTTATTGTTGTTCTGTAGTGAAGACAAAGTATCAGCACCTTCTTCCAAGCTGATGCAAAAGATGGGAGCCCAGCCTGTCAGGAATACAGCCATGGCTTGACAGCATTTCAGACTTTCCCATGCTTTGACTTCCATGAAGGTGGTTCTTTCCTTCCACCGGAACTTTCGCCTAAGGTGATGCTTCATTCCTGTTTGAAAAGGAATGGGCTGCCTGAACAGTGTGCCCAAAATCAGTTTATTGGCTTTCACCTAGTCCACTGCTGCATTAAGACACTGATCCAGAGCTTGCACAAAATATTTTGCTTTCGCTCTTATGTTACGGAGAAGTAGAGCTGGGTATCAGTACAGTCGTACCTTGCTTCTCGAACGTAATCTGTTCTGGAAGTCCGTTTGAAAACCAAGATGCAGCTTGCGATTGGCTGGAGGAGCTTTGTGCACTCAAGTGGAAGCTGCGTCAGATGTTCGAAAACCAGAACACTTACTTCCAGGTTTCCGGCATTAGGGAGCCAAAATGTACGAGTAGCAAGGCGTTTACGAACCAAGGTACGACTGTATACTGATGGTACCATGCTCCAAAACTCCTACTGACCACTCCGAATGTCTTCAAATAGATATTGAACAACATTGGGGTCAGAATAGTGCACGATGGAACCCAATAGCACAGGTGTCAAGGAGTTGAAGAACATTCCTCCAATGTTACTTTCTGCACAACTAGGTAGGAACAGAACTACTGTACCACAGTGCCTCTGATACGCCTCCCACACATTTGATCCAGGAGGATACCATGGTCAGTGGTATCAAAAGTTGCTGAGACACTGAGTAAGAGTAGCAGTTTTGTATTCTCCACGTCTCTCTCCCGATGCAGCACAACAAAGGCTGATTAAGTAGTAAAACCATTGAAGTGGATCCAGATAATCAGGGTCATTGAGGATCACTTGCAACTGCATTTAGTCTCATTACTGTGATTTGTATTATTATGGTGCTGTTTCGAACACACAGTCCTTTGATTGCCAATGGGTCCCCCCTCAAGGTTTCTTCTGTTCTATATGGGCTTCATTAGTCCCCAGTGAAGCATACATGAAGAGTTCATTTACTTCTACTTCAGCCATATCTTTTGGTGGGAAGGAGACATTGGTGGATCCAACTTTCAGCTGCTATAACCTCCTTTTTCTTGATTTCTCAGTTGGTCCCCTGCTCAGTTGGTCCCCTGTAGAAAACAGATGTAGGATTGAATCCTGAAAGTATAGAGAGCTCTTATAGTAATTCTTAAATTTTCTCCTGCCACCAATTCATTCAAAAATGTTCTGGTTGCTGATATAATAGGCTTAGGCATGAGATGGACACCAGCACTAGAGACAGGAGAATTTTTCAGCTAAGATTTTTGGTTTTATAAAGGGATACTGTGTGTAAGAATGTGGTTCCTTTAAGAGCAGGGCTGCAAGACAGGAGTGAAGAAGTATCACCAGAAAAGAGAACAGCAACAGCAGCAATAATAATTTTATTAATTATATGCCACCCAACTGACTTGGTTTCCCCAGTCACTCTGGGTGGCTCCCAACAGAATATTAAAAGCAAAATAAAAGCTCAAACATTAAAAACTTCCCTAAACAGGCCTGCCTTCAGATGTCTTCTAAAAATCAGTTGTTTATTTCCTTGAAATCTGACGGGAGGATGTTCTACAGGGTGGGTGCAATTACCAGGAAGGCCCTCTGCCTGGTTCTCTGTAACCTCATTTATCACAGTGAGGGAACCACCAGAAGACCCTTGGAGCTGCATCTCAGTGTCTGGGCTGAATGATATGGGTGGAGATGCTCCTTCTGGTATACAGGGCAAAGCCGTTTAGGGCTTTAAAGGTCAGCACCAACACTTTGAATTGTGCTTGGAAATGTACTAGGAGCCAATGTAGATCCTTTAAGACTTGTGTTATATGGTTCTGGCAGCTGCTCCCAGTAACCAGTCTGGCAGCGTGGTCAACAGTATCATATGTTCTCATTATCCTACCCCTGAACTGTGCCAGCTGGGCATTATAAAAACAATTGTTTAAAAACTGGTGCCTGAGTTTCATTACCTCCTTCCCTCTCTGTCCCTTTCCCCTTGTGTGTCATGTTATTTTCCATGGGTGGATGCCATCTTATTTTAACTAATTGCACGGAAACCACTCTGGGAGCCTTTTAGGCTGAAGAGTGGAGTACAAATTCTCTAAATAGATGGATTGGGTTGTTTAGGGGGTTGTTGTTGCTGCTGTTGTTGTCCTAATTGTTTAAAACTGTTTTTAAGTACATTTAACTTGTGTATTTTTAAATTTGGGATGTTTCTTATTTAATTAAGGGACATTAGATGTACCTGGAAAGAGAGGAGCTGGGGAGAGCATGGGAGACAGCAATTACAGTGGATATGTGCAAGGGGAGGTATGGGGTGGAGCAGGCCTGGTAAGGGGCACATGGCACAGACAGTTAGTGACTGTGCAATGTGCCAGCCCTCCCTCCAACCTGGGGAATTATGGTTGTCCTATCAGTCAGACTTCGGGTCTGTGACTGCTGCTGTTGAATGCCAGTTCAGCTTTGAATGAGAACTCCCTCATCCATGATCTGTGGGTGAGGAGGACAATCTGGTCTGCATCACTGAGACCTGGGTGGGAGAACAGTGCCCACTTGTGTACTCAGTACAGCATCAGGGCAGATTTGAGGGTCAAGGATGGGGCGCTGCTGTGGTCTATAGCAATTCAATCACACTCAACATGCTCTTTGTCCAGTTGGAGGGGGGTAACCTCCCCATGAGGGATGCGGGTGGCACTGTGGGTCAAACCACAGAGCCTAGGACTTGCCGATCAGAAGGTCGGCGGTTCAAATCCCCGCGATGGGGTGAGCTCTCGTTGCTCGGTCCCTGCTCCTGCCAACCTAGCAGTTTGAAAGCACGTCATAGTGCAAGTAGATAAATAGGTACCGCTCCGGCAGGAAGGTAAACGGCGTTTCCGTGCGCTGCTCTGGTTCACCAGAAGCGGCTTAGTCATGCTGGCCACATGACCCGGAAGCTGTAAGCCGGCTCCCTCGGCCAATAAAGCGAGATGAGCACCGCAACCCCAGAGTCGGTCACGACTGGACCTAATGGTCAGGGGTCCCTTTACCTTTACCTTAACCTCCCCATGAGTGGTCCAGAGGGTGGCAACACGAGAAAGGGCTCCCATTTGTGGAATGATCCCCATTTGCAAAATTCTCTACCCAAGGAGGTTTGGCTGGTGCCTTCATTATAACCTTTAGGTGCCAGACAAAAATGTTCCCTTCCAACCAGGCCTTTGGTTGACTGACATACAATGCCCTATTAATGTGTTGCGGGAGGTGGGATTTTTGCTTTGTTTCTCTTCTTGTTTTTTATTACGTCTTTTGGGTTTTTTCATATTGTAATTTATAAATATATGTATATTTATAATTTCATGAATAAAGAAATCATGGCTAGTAATCCTTGATAGACCTCTCCTCCCTGAATCGTCTAATCCTTTTTAAAGCAAGTTATTAGCCATGAATGCCTCTTGGGGAAGCAAGTTTGACCATGTGCTGCATGAAGTTCTTTCTTTTATCTGTCTGAAATCTTCCAAAATTCAGCTTCCTTGCATGTCCACAAGTTCTAGTGTTATGAGAGAGAGAGAGGGGGGGGAAATCTCTATCCACTTTCTCCGTGCCATGTCTAAATACCGCATTTTTCGCTCTATAAGACGCACTCTTCCCCTCCTAAATAGTAAGGGGAAATGTGTGTGCATCTTATGGAGTGAACGCAGGTGGGAGGCTCTGCTCAGCACTCCCTTTAAAGAGCCGTGTGGAGCTTGAGTGCGGCTCTTGGGGACCCTCCTCCCTCCTTGGGGGAAAGCCCCCAAGAGCCGCACACACACTCCGCACGTTCTTTAAAGGGAGCGCGGCTCTTGGGGGAACCTTAGCTGCATGCAGCCT